CATATGATGCCACCAGGAGCCCCAAGAGTCACATTTAGGTTTAGCGAGGGCCATGTCAGCGCCCTGTGTGGTCTGACGTCCCATAGCGGTGGAGAAGCACACGTATGGTTGGGACCAGACTGCCCGCCCCCCACCCCGGGTCTCAGGCCTCAGTGGCCGATGTCTCTGGCTGCTTCTTGCAGCAGCAGCAGCAGCAGCAGCAGCAGCAGCAGCAGCAGCTGGAAGTGGACAAGGTTCATCTGAGCACGCGGCTGCGCACAGCCTGGCTAATAATTGATGTTGAGTTTTTGTTGCTCAGAACCCGAATCCAGCATTCCCTTGCACCAGGAATAAAACCTGTAAATGCAGCACCCAGGGGCGCACACGCAGCACCCACACGTCCTGCTTTGGCAACCGCTAGGCGCCAGGGCTTCAGAAAGAGGCCCTTCAATTCTTCCATCAGAGAGTCCGCAGAAGAGGCGGAACTTTAGCCAGGGCCGCAGTCCCTTGCACAGGAGCAAGGGACTTCATCTCTAGGCCTGGCCTTTGCAGGCGTCTGCACTGGACAGGGCAGCAGAGAACACAGGCCAGCCTCTGGGGTGGGGCTCAGGTCCGCATGGCCCCGTGGTGCCCTGGAGAGGGAAAAGTGCTCTCGGGTGTCCGCTTCAGATCAGGGATGTGCCCTTCTCAATTCCAACCCCTTGGAGAATAATCTAAGGGAATGTCGTCCTATATTGACATAAATCCCCTTTGATGTTTTTTGATGGACAATTTCGGCTGCCTCCTGGGTGAGGTAGACATGTTCTCTTTACTCTGATGTTGGAACTATCAGGTAGGCCACTGAGAAGAGGTGGACACTCACCTGCCCACTGCAGGCACCATTGGAGGTCCACAGTGCAGCCTTGATTGTTCTTCGTTTTAGGAACTCGTCCGGTGACAACTCACTTGGTGTCCTCGACCTGGCTTCCCCTCTGGTTCTTCTCCAGCTCTGGGACAGCACCCTTGCTTTTCTCGTTCCAGATAGGACTAGCTTGGTGGTAGAGTCTGGCTGGGAAGATTTAATCTCATTTTAAAAGTATCTGCTGTTTAGTGAACAGAGGGCTGAATTTGTGATTTGAGACGTGGGCTCAGAGCCTCGGGGTTCAACTTATTATGGGGCCACCCTGATGGAGTCCTTTCATATCCTGAAGCCTTCAGGGTAATGGGGTAACATTAGCTCAGACTGTTGTGGCAAGAGTCAGACGGGACGATGGGCGGGGAGGTATTTGGCAAGCTGTGTTGTTTATCCCAATTTTGCTAGGGCTCTCCCACTGCCGCTGCCGTGCACCAGAGCACGGGCCTGGCTGCTAGCACGCCCGCAGTGCTTGGGTCCTGGTTCACACAGGCCGCCTTCCCACGCCCACTCCTGCTCCTTCCCCCTCCCCACACCCACTGTCCTGAGACAAAAGGTCTCCTCAAGCCTGGTAATATTCCAAAGATTCGGTGTTCTGCCTTTGGCCTGGAGCAACACAAATTTATTTTCAGCATTAACTAGAGCTTAACCTCGATGTTAAAAATTAGAAAATGTAGAAATTAAAATTGGCTGCTTTAGGCATATTCTCTTTCCTTCCCTCTGAAAGCATGAATTACTGCTTCTGCCTTCTGGGTAAGATGAGTGGAATATAATAGCCCAGATCTTGTTTGTTCCAATAGAATATTTCATACGGTAGAAGCTGGCTAAATTATGTGTTGTGAAATTCCCTGAAGCTGCAATTCAAGAAACGTATAATTAAGCCTCAGCATTATCAAAGAGCAGAAAATATTTTTCTTCCAATTTTCCTGTGATTTAAAAACTATTCAGGGTTTTTATTTTTGTGACAGCATGATAGGTAATACACCAAAACTCTGTACCTGTAAATAGGAGCAATTATCATGAGCTGATAAAAAAATTTAAAAAAATGTTTAAAGAGATGGAAATATTAACTACCCTGGTTTGATCATCACACACTGTGTAAGTGCATTGAATTATCACACGGTACCCCATAAATATGTATATTTAAAATAGTAATTAATTAAGAAAAAAAATTCAGAGAATAGCTGTTAAGTGCTGAACGCCAGGTAAGGAGGGTGGCCCCACCTCTGGCACCGGGACACCTCCTCACAGCTCCTATGTGGGGACCAAGCCATCTCTGAGGTGGCCCTCAGGATCCATGACAGGTGAGAACCTTGTTGGCCCCGTGCAGTGGATGGGGTGGACCGTCAGCCCTTTCTGGGTTGAGGTCAGACCCCAGCAGGCTGCAGGGACCATTGAAATGGTTTGCTGCTCCCGTGAGACCCATCACCTACCTGAGGAGGTCTGTGTGTCTCTGCAGAGCTGATGTCACCAACAGGTGAATCCTTTTAACATGACAATTGACACAAAGGAATGTATTTCCTTATGTCGTTCACTTAGATGTTGCATTGGTTTCCCAAGACAGCATAACAAGTGACCCAAACTTAGTGGCTTGGAAACTGAATTTCATTCTTTCACAATTCTGCAGGTCAGAAGTCCAAACTCAAGGTGTCAGAGGGCTGCACCCCCTGGGGGGTTCAGGGGAGGGTCCTCCGTGCATTTTCCAGCTCCAGAATCTCCACAAAGGCATCTCAGCATCTCTGCTTTCCTTCTGCCCACCCACCTCTTTCTTTCTACTGGGAATTGAACCCAAGGGTGCTCTGTCACTGAGCCACACCTACAGCCCTTTTTATCTTTTCTCTTGGGACAGGTATTGCTGCGTTTCCCAGGCTGCCTCGAGCTTGAGGTCCTCCTGCCTCAGCTTACTGAGTTGCTGGAGCCACCATGTCCCAGTTCTTTCTCTTTTCTTAAAAGGACATTTTTCATGGGATTTAGGCTCTGTCCTACTAATCTTATCTTGAGCACGTAAGAGACTGGTAGTATCATGAGATACTTAATTACATCTGCAAGGACGCTTTTTTCCAAGGCGCACTCATACATTGCTGGTGGGACTGCAAATTGATCCAACCACTATGGAAAGCAGTATGGAGAGTCCTCAGAAAACTTTGAGTGCAACCACCATTTGACCCAGTTATCCCACTCCTTGGTATATACCCCAAAATCTTAAAAACAGCATACTACAGTGACACAGTCACATCAGTGTTTATAGCAGCTCATTTCACAATAGCCAAACTATGGAACCAACCTATGTGCCCCTCAACAGATAAATGGATAAAGAATGGCATATATACACAATGGAATATTATTCTACCATAAAGAAGAATGGAATTATGATTTTCCAGTAAATGGATGAACTAGAGACTATCATACTCAGTGAAATAAGCCAATTCCCCAAAAAACCAAAGGCCGAATATTCTCTCTGATATGTGGATGCTAACACACAATAAGCGGGTGGAGACAGAAGAATGGAAGTTTATTGGATTAGACAGAGGGGAATGAAGGGAATGGAGGCAGGATGAGAATAGGACAGACAGTAGTATGAATCGGACGTGACTTTCCTGTGTTCATACATGACTACATGACTATGTACAGCCACAAGAATGAGATCCTAATTAGAATAAGTCATACTTTATGTGTGTATAATATGTCAAAATATACTCTACTGTCATGTGTATTTAAAAATAACAGAGAGAAAGAAAGAAAGATAAGGAACACCCAGAGCTGGAGGTTAAAGCAGTCTGCCCAACGTCTATCCCACAGGAGTCTTGGCAGTTGTGAGTCATTAACTTCCATTACCTGGTTCTAAATTTGAAGACCATGGAAGGGAACAATTTCTATTTTCAGACCTACAGCCTAAGTGGCCTAACACAAATAAAGCTTCTTGAAAAAAAAAAAAAGGATGTCATGCAAGTTATATCAAAATAAAATGTTTTAGTGTTTTAAAAAGACTGTGTTTTCTAAGTACAGTCACATGCACATTGATGGTGGGGTTAAGATAGGACATATGTTTTGGGGTACAATTTAACAGGCTATAAAGGTACATAAAAATTCTCAGGTAAGCACTGAAGAGGCTGGCAGTCTCCACCTGGAGGAGGTAGTGGGGAGAGGGGAGAAGACGACAGGGGAGGAAGGGGAAATTTTGCCTCCATTTAATTTTTAAACTACTTGAACATTTGATTCAGTTACTTTTACATACGTGACATGTTAGGTTTACATATTTTATAAACAAATAAATCTAATTTTAAATTACAAGCTGGGGTATTATTACCCAGCAAACTCTCAGCTTAGATCTTGAACACAAAGCCTGAAGACAAACATGAATTCTTAACTATTGTGATGAAACATATCAATATTAAGAGTTGTTACTAAAAAAGGTACAATTTTTTTTTAAAAAAAATTGACATGTATCTTTACATATCACAAGCTACACAAAGTGCCAGCAAAAAATAAATAAATAAATAAAATAAAATAAACCCAGTAGAAAAGTGAGATTTTATTGTCCCTATGATTCTGTGCCAATACTTTAGACATTTACCCAGCCAGCAAGTTACTGTGACTGAGCAGGCAGGGGGGCGCAGGTGGCCTGATCGGCCATGCTTCCTGTAGGATCCGGATCTTCCTCGGAAGGCGGGGGACGCCCGTGCCCTGTGAGAACCACAGATGACCGAGGAACCCCAGCAGGTTCTCAGTCACGTGGCTTCTCTGGGTTAGCAACCACTATGCTGACAGTCAGGACGCGGAGGGAAAGAGCAAAAGAGGAAAATCTCCTCCCTTTCCACCCCACCCCAACCGTCAGCAAGCGCCTGCGTATCAATAAGTGAGGCAGAACCAGCAGAGCTGACGTTTCTCAGCATTTCCTACGATCCAGTAAACCCCAAATTTATATGAAATTGTGAGCTCCCAAATACAAACCCTGTTATTTGGAGATCTGCATATGAGATAGATGTACTTATATTTGCTTTTAAAGCTGAAATTGCACAGTATAAAGAGTAATGGCAAAGTTTATGCTTCTAACCTAAACTTTCAGTTTTACTTCACTAAAAATAACATTAGATAGCAAATAAAAAATACCACAACAAGTCGACAGGAGTAAAGGGGAAGGGTTTACATTTTATTGCATTTACTTTCCCCAACTTCTGAACAAGAGGATCCACATTTTCATTTTGCACTGGGCCACCCGAGTCACGTGGCTCCTGCAGGGAGCTGAATCCGAGGGTCCTGATGAGCCCCTGGAGGTGCGTCTTCCTCTGCTCCAGTCAGCTCTAGAGGGAGGGTTCCAGGACACAGACGGGGCTTCCTGTGAATGACCCCAGGGCAGCTTCCCTGGGTGATTCCACCTGAGGGACAGGCAGAGCCCTCCCATCTTTGCCATGGTATGTCTGGGCTCTGGCCTAGCGGGCTCCAGGCTTGGGGGCTGAGTCCTCAGCCTGCTCACCTGCAGAGCCGCTTCTAACTGCTCTGGGAAACTCTAGTGTGAAGTGTCTGTCACCTCCCCTTTTAGTGGCCCAAACTACACTACCTGCCTAGGCTGTGTATTCATTAGAAAGTAACCACTTACTTTAAGTAAGGGCAAAAACGGAACCAGTTTGGGGCAGTTAAAGCCGCCGGTGAAGCTCAGGACAAGGATTCACGTGTTCTCTGGGGAGAAGAATGGGCCTTCTCGGAGTGAGGGACTCCAGGCCCTTTTCCGGTCCGTTCGTCTCTGCTGTGTGTAGACGTTACACTGACCAACTCGCTCCCTCTCTCCCTGGGCAGCGGCTCTGACCTTAGTCCTTCCTGGGCACAAAGCGCGGAAGCTGCTCTAAGTTTCGCTCGCTGGCCCTGGCACTGGCCTGTGCACCGACCGCTCCCTGGCCAGCCCGGCTGGGTCAGCCACTGTGGCCCGCGTGTTCAGCCCAGGCTCCCCCCTCCTCCGCCCCCCCACACTCTACCACTGTCCCCCAACAGCACCGCAGGCTGGGCCCGCTGACCCAACCCGAGCCCTCTTAGCAGAGGAGAGAGCTCCCAGTTTGAAGGGGAGATAGGTCCCCCCTTCCAGGGAGCCCTGGCGGCAGATGTTCTGCAACTCACCATCCCAGAGGTCACGCGCTCACCCCTGCTGTTTCGGGAAAAAGAGAAGTCCTGGGCTCCTGGGTTTCCCACCAGGCTCCCATCAGCTTTGTGCAAGTCCGGGAGGAGTCGGGCCATCTCTTGGGACCCACGGATGGCCTTCCCTGGGTTTTCGAAGCTTGCTCTCAGCTCTTTGAACTACATCCAAATGCCTAGCTCATGGCGTCGTAATTGCTCACCTGGGACGAGTGTGGAGATCTGATTTCATATCGAAAAATTCAGTGCATCTGGGACCACATCATAGCTCTGCTGAGATGCACGTTACATCAGCTCTGATTCATTCCTGGGATCTGGTTTCAGGCCAGAATCTGATAACATTGGCCAGATACTTCAACGGTTAGTTGATGTTTACCTGGGAAAATGAAAACAAACTCTTAGTTTTCATTTTTACTTTAGTCTAAAACATTGTATGTGCATATATTTCAAATATTACATATGACTTTTGAAGAACAACAAAAACACAGGAAAATAGGCTCTCAAATACACTTTCCACATTGAACTTGGATGGACTTCAGGGCCATCAACAAGTTGTGCCAAGCAGCATATGAAGTCAGGCTTGGATGCATGAGCTGTGTGACCTTAGGCAAATGACTCATGCTCTCTGAGCCAAAGTTTACTTATCTGTGAAATAATGAGTGTAATGCCTGTTCCAGAGATTGCTTTTAGGATTAAGTTAAACCGTAAAAGCCCCTTCTTCTGTGCCCAGTATGGGTTCAGTACCTGTTGATTCTTTCTCCTTTCCACCATGGAGAATACTGATGTGGGCCTCTCCCTACTCTCCTTGCCAAGCAGTTTAGTTGGGATTGGGTCCTACTGGGCTGTAGGGATGTGTCTTGATGGATCTCAGCCAATGACAGTTATCCAGTTCTGGTAACTGTCAACCACTGGGTCGTTGGTTCAGGGGTGACTGCTCAATGCAAAACCCAGCAACTTATTTTTCTCCACCCAGATACGTGCAAAGAAGCTGCAGCCCAGAGCACCGTGGAAGCCATCCGTGGCTCTCAGAGACGCCCAGGGAAGGGCAAGGCCAGGGCCCGGGGAGGGTGGACAGAAGATCTGTAAGGAACAGGCGGGAGGCCTGCCCACCAGGCCCGAGGGGAGGGCTTGTGTCCACCAGGCCAACCTCGACTCGGCCTTGCCAGGAGAGAGCCATTGGCGCTCGGCCCTGGGCCTTTGATCCTGAACTACTACCAGACCAGAAATGCAACTGCATCACAGGGGCCACCCAGCATCCCCCCCAGCGGGGCCTCCTCCAGTGGATCTCGAGACCCACCCCCCGCACAGCTGCCTGGGCCAACCTTCCACTGTCAGGGAAACGCCACCCAATGAGGTTGCTTCTGTTTCTGCTCCTGGGGGAACCACCTGCAGAGTCTGAAGTCGCCAGACCTGGGGAGATGGCACTTCTCCTGGTCCAGTGGCCTGACTTGTGGGCACTTTTGAGACACAGCCCGAAGGGAGAAAGAGACTGTGGAGAGGCTACCGCGGCACCGCGACTCTCCAGGTTCAGCTGAAATTAGACACCTTCCCGTGTGGTTGTAGAAACCGGGGGTAGGAAAGCACAGGGCTCCTCCTTGCCACAGGGCCCCTCCCTGACCTGCTCCTCAGGGGGGGGGACCGTTGCTCACGGACACTGTTCACGACATGAATAAGCACATCAGAGGTATTTTGTAATACCTGATTTGCATTTCAAAAAGGCTTACGGAGTTACTGAAATAATAAGGGATCCATAAAATAACACTGCAAGAAAAACTAGAGTTAGACCAACCAATCAACCAGCCCCGGCACAACCCAAGTGACTTCAGGATGGGGTTGGTTGGTGAATTTGGTGCCTTTAGGTGGAAGGTTAGCCTCCAGGTCAAAGAACAGCATGTTCTGGAGTGCAGAGGTGTCCAAGGAACACCACGCACATTGCTAAGTGAGAGAGCGAGTTACAAGTGTCCCTGCAGTTATTTCCCCTTCACGGCATGGTGTTGCATGATTCATTGGCTGATTTTCACCAGTCAAGATTCTGTTGGACGGGAGGGTCTTCAAAAAAATTGAAATCAGAACTATCATAGAATCCAGTAACCCCACTCCTGGGTGTGTCCAAAGATGAACGAGGCACGTGGGAGAGCTACATTGGCCCTCCCAGGATCACTGCAGCACAAGACAGGGAACCACTGTGTCCACCAGGGGCCAGAGGCGGGGCACACACGTGCATATGTCCATCAGCTGCATTGATTCCAACTGGCTTCATGCTCCAGTGTCCAGGCCACCTGATAGTTTGCACGGTGGGAAGTGGTTAGTGTTCAGGGTGACTGTCCTAGGGAATGTCCTCTATCCCTCACCTGGGACCCATTAGCGGGGAGCCAAGCAGGCCTCTCATCTTAACTCTGCCGTTGGAACATCAAGGGCGAGGTGTGAAGCCTCTTTGAGCCTCAGTTTCCTCATCTGTAATAAGAAACTGAGAACATCACTTAGGATTGCGGTGAGCTGCCGGCGGGAGCAAACATGTAAGGGCTTAGGGGAGACTCTGTCAATCACGTCCTTCTCTTTCCCTGCCAGGTCCCAGGGGCCTGAGTCTGGCAATCCACTCAGAGACCCAGAGATTCTGGTTTTGATTTTTAAAATCGTCTGATCAACTTTGATGTGAAGCTGTTTTATATTTGTAAAATATTGTTATTTACAAGGCAGAAATGATTACCGGAGTGGGCCTGGCAAACACGATCATGTTTGCATTTTCTGGGACTTGACCTTTCATGTGGGAAATCCAGAGGGGAAAATCGCACGGCTGAGAATCCTAGGGAGCCAGGAGGGGAGCCAGTTCTGCCCCAGCCTTGCAGGCTTTTTAGGTGGGCCTTGTAGGGGGTACCTCGGAAACCGGCTGTGAGACATTGTCTAGTTCCAAAGGACGCAGAAATTGGCTACATGTAACAGGAAAACCCAGGGATGGTCATTCAGAGGTAGTCAGCGCAGAAGAAACAGTGACCTTGACATTCCAGGGACCCTCATCTTGACCATCCAAATGAGAAAAGAGCAGGGAGAACGTGGTGGGGGTGGGGTGGGCGTCCTGCCTCTGGGCCTCCCACAGTCAGGAGGTCAGAGTCCACGGAAAATGAGAAGATCAGCTTCAATCTAGACAGCAGCAGCAGATGCTTCTCCGTGTCCTGCAATTAGAAAACAACCTCCAAACTGCAAGGTGCAGCAATGCCTCAATATTGACTTACACTCCCCCTGAGAAATGCTGCTGGCGGGGTGCAGAGCTTCAAAAGGGTTTAAACCGTCGGTCTCCTGCACCCCCCTCCCCCTGGCTCCGAAGACTTGCTTTGGTTATATTCCTTATTTATTTTTTTTCTATAAAAGACGACTAGGTAAACCCTGCAGAGTCAAAGTTACTGACAGAAAATGGGGCAAATCCTTGCAGATTTGAAACAGCCTTAAAAGGGCAGCGTTCCCGGAGCCTGTGGTCCCTACTCAAGGTGACTTGGAGGTGAAAGCCACAGCCTTGGGCACTATTTTGGGTAGAAAAAAAAGGTGCTGCTGGCAGTGTGGAAGGCCGGGGTGGGTGGATCCCTGGAACTGCCCAGGTCTTGTGGTTGGGGCACATTCTTTATGGACAGAAGATGCGATGTAGAACACAGGTCCGCCCTGAAGGTCAGCCAAGTCTGCCACCTGGGCTCCGGTCCTGGGAATTTGAGAATGCTGTCTTCACGCAGGGGACCAGAGGCACGGAGACCCCATGCCAGCTAGTGATTGAGTCTGAGCACTAAGCAACCATGAGAAGGGCCACCTGGGGGCCAGGGTCACCAGTGTCTGGAGTCGCTGGTGGGCTCCATGACTGGGGGTGACTCTGATCAGGGCCTCCAGCATGTTAAACCTGACAACAGCCATCTCAAGCCACCCTGCCCAGAGACAGTTGACTCGGGTCCTGCCACAAAAACCTATTATATCGAGGCCACGGAAATTTAAGATTAGGACGTCACAGATCCTGACTGATTTCTTGAAAACATTTTCATTTCACTTCTGTAAAATGTCCAGTTTTTCCTCTCTCCACCAAACATTCTCCTTCCAAGCAGAGTGAAAGGGCAAGTCCTGTGCTTACTAGAACACAGAATAAAGTTGATTTTAATCGATCATCACAACACAGTAAGTAGGGTGTGGTGAGGGGAGAACCTCTCCTCTGGAGTCAGAGAAACTGTGAAATACCAAAGGGTCAGGGAGGGGAAGTTTTGACCTTTGAACCTCACCAGTTTAATCGGGATGCAAAGTGGTTCTGGGTCACCAGCACAAGTGGCAGTGGAGAGGAAGGTGAGCGACCCGTGTTTGGGATGAGTTTGAGCAGCCCAAAGACAGAGCCAGCGATGGAACCAGGGGCTGGGCCATGTGCAGGGGTGAGTTCTCGTGCCTGCATAAAAACTGGCATGAAACTTCCTTAGGTGGCCACGTCTGTATGGTGATGGCCCGGAGGAAAGTCACCCTCCTGACCCAGGGGTCTGTGTTGCCCCTTGGAATGTGAGAAGGCGCGCACACACAAGCACATGCCTTGCTTGCTGATGCAGAAGCCATGGCCGGCCTGGCTGGTTGATTGACGGGGCTGTGGCAGACGCACGTCTCAGGACGGAGCAGGAGCAGCTTCGTCACTGCCTCAAAACCCTTGGGAAGAGTCACCGCGTCCTCAACAGGAGGAAGTTAAAATGGCCTTAAACGCAGAATGACAATTTTAAAAAGCACAAATGAATCCCAGTTAGGAAAAGAATCAAGCACGATAAATGCAAATAAGCTATAGCAAGAGCAACTTCTGAAATGCTTCATCGCCTTCGTCAAGCGATCATTAATCATTGTGGACACACCATTAGATTTTTACAAAAGGGCAGTCCTGGGATGGCCAGATCTCCTGGACAGTATGCAGAGCTTTGTGAACCAGGTCTGCTCAATGTGCCTTCACAGGAGGAGGGGGCTGGGGCCCTCTGGAAGCAACGTGCATCACAAATGGAGAGACACGATTCATTACCACCAAGCCAACCTTGCCAAGGTCCTGGCTTTACATTTATTACAAACGCGGCCACAGATGGGGGTCCCAGTTTGCCTTGGCAGTCCTGGCCACAGCCTGTGTCCCAGCGTGACAAACAGTGTCCCTTTCACTCTAAACAAAATTTATCTAGTCGCGTGATAAATGATCTGTCTTTTTATTTATGGAGCAAACAGAGAAGACTACGTCAAATTGGATAAAGACAGA